TGCTCAGCAATAGCTAGTGTTTATTGTAGGAGCAGGAAATCAGTAGCTTCTCATCTGACATTAACACATAATGTGATGTTTCGAATACTCAAAATACTCACACTCGACCGAGACTAGCACAATTCTTGCATCTGAACCCAAACAGACGTTCAACGGCTGGCTTTGGGGCTTCTACTTTCATGAAACAGCACCAAGTGGTCCTGAGTTTTTCGAGTATCGGACGCTCATCCTCTATTCTACATCCGCAGGCAAAGATAGAAATTCCGTGCGGGATTACCTCGTCTTTGGCTGGTGCTTTTTCTGGCTTAGGCTTGATGAGCTTGGTCGTCATGTAGAAATATTGTATGATGTTGGTCTTATTAGTTGTGCGGAAGGATACGTGGGGTTAAAAAGTGATTAGGGGGGGGGGTATAAGTGAGCGATACGTGTCGTTGTTTGAGGATTGTTCAAAAATAATCTTAGAAGAGAAGATGGGGGCGTGTTTCTGCCATCTGGGTGTGAGGCAAGGGTATCCATCTTTCATATCCTTGATAGCTATCATTCTTGTTCCATTTCTATCCCGTAGATAGCGAGCCGGAGAACTCGCTTCTCTGGTGTCCAATAGCTTCTTCGAAATGCAGTCACTGTCTATATCGAGAGACCACCTGAGACCAATACAAAATCTCTTTGTTTCAGCATGTAGTGAGTGGGTAAGACATGATTCCCCCACCCAATCTGAGCGACGGTGAAAATAAGAATGAACTGTGCAGTTCTCCAGCATTCTCCAGCTACCTCGCTTCAACTGTCGGCCCAACCAAAATGAAGTTTTACAAAAAGGTGATCCACCAGACCAAAATGTTTTGCAAAAAGACATACAACAGTGGGGATTCGCTGGTGGTCACCCACCCAACTACTAATCCACCGATCTGAAGCTTGTGTATGGCAGAGCGGACGGGATGCCCAATTCTCTTCAGTCTATGGTCGTATGTGCCAGGGTATGCTTTGTCTGAAAATATATCCATTGTCACACACAGTGAGAGACGAGTGTTAAGTCAAACACCCCACGAAATTTGAGAAACTAACTAGCTCACAAGTCTGGAATTGGAGGATTGTTTGAATTGAGATCTTGAATAATTTTGAAGAGCGCGAGTATTAAAAGGTATCGCAGGAAAATATACAATTTTGACATTCGCCTTATCTTTTTCAATTGCAAGGTCTATTTCTCTTCTCGCGAAATTAAGCGATACGTGGTGCATCACATGAGAGGCAATATTCACTGTGTAGATTTGATGATGAGTTGCTGTTGAATTTCTGATGGCTAATTTGATATCGATATATTTGCATATAGTTTATTGGACGGTTTTTGTAATGGAGTAATCAAATTTTATTTAAGGGGTGAAGTTTTTTTAGTGAAATGACTGGTATTTTAGGTGTTGACAATGACGGAACAAAAGGAAATAAATCATCAATTCTCAGCTCCACTCAACCGCACCTCATTTTGTCGCCAAAAGAAAAGAGTCGTCATTGCTTGGCCTCACCTCGTGTATCCACTGCTTCCACCTTCAAAACATCGCATGAAATATCCGCTTGAGCTTGTCCGTGAAGCCATTCCCGATGAGTCTTCAAACATGCCACCTCCATGGCAATCCGCTCCTCTCCTTGAGGAACATACGAATGTAAAATTGTGAAAGGTTGAAGAATTGTCGGTCGAATCATGCGTCCATTGCGAAAGGTCGGGACTCCTTTGGATTGGAAATGGATTTGGAAATCGACGGGGTTGTTGTCGGACTCGTGTACTCGTCTAGTGCTTTCGAGAGCACAAGAGAGTTTGATTGTGGTTGGGTGTGAGGTGGCTACGACGTGGCAATTGAGGTCGAGAATGAAGTGGTGGGGCTTCAATTCGGCACCGACGTCGTGGTGGTAGAAGGTGAAGATGTCGTGGGTTCGGTCGTGTCGCTCTTGAGCGGTGATCGCTGCTGTGAGGCTGTCGATTGCGAGGAAGAGGAAGATCATCATGAAAAAGTAATTCATGATTGTGATCTTTGGGTTGGGGCTTCTGAAATTCGCTTTGATGATTCGGGATGCGTTTCTGATTTCTGTGAATTTAGGAATGCTGATAAGAAAATAGAAAGGATAGGAACAGAAGGAATGAGGGGTTTATATAGATTGAAGAAGGGGTTTGTTTTGAACTTGTTCATTAATTCGTATGTGATCTAGGTGCACTAAGCAGAGAGCTTAAAGTGTTGATGAATTTTAAAGCAGTCTCTACTTCACTGCTTGAAATTTAATTTCCAGGCGTGTATGCGCATCCCTTGCTAACGATGGAGAGCCGTGTTCTTCGAGAGTCGAGAGGCTGTTCCTGCACAATTGCCCCCCTTGCCATTCATAATGACTCCATGACCACATGAGTTGGAGTACTGATCATTTTCCAAGGGCTACTCATATCATGATCGATAGTGTGATTTCGTGATCCCTTCCTATTCATTCTTTGCAACTGGAACCATCAATCGCCAGCTATTCATAGAATCTCATGCTATATATCCTATCATCGTCTCATGAATGGATCTTCGTTCGTTGGCATTCGATTTTTCGTCGGGAGACTGGTGCATTTGGAACAGCATACCGGTATCTGTTTGACTTCCGGTACGAATACTTTTAAGGCCGGATTCGGAGGAACGAAGCGCACGCTGGTCCGACTTTTGCATGTGATGCAATATCTGATTTCGAGAAGGCACATATCTTATGCGATGACCGAGATTTCAAGACGGAGGAGGAAATATGCAAGTTACTTGTGAATCGACAAAGTTCTGGGAAGAATCTGAAGGCTATGGGAAAGCATGCTAAGAATCGTGTTCCTTTTCTAGTCATTAGATTACAAAAAAATATCACACGTTCTCAAGGAAAGGGGGTTCTAGAATCTAACGAAGGCAATGGAGTTATCTCCGTTACACGTGTCTCTGATGTTCATTGTTTGGAGATAATGCAGAAACCGGCATGCTCACCCGGAGATCGATAACTCTTTCTTCGCTTGCAAGTGGGCTTATTTTTAGAAATAGAGAACAATGAAAAAGCTTTTTTATCAAAGAAAACAAGTCTCAGACAATAACATAGTATGAATCACGAACAAAGAACATTGTCAAAGCAGTTGCGTGAAGAATCATTTGGACACGGCTTGTGCTCTACAAATGATAAGAAGTTCCAGATGGTACAACCTTTCTCTTTAAAACAATCCAAGCATTACATTACAAGATATCTCACAACTTTCAGAACTAAGAAAAGCAAAAAGAGAGCAACAGCAAATGTGTATCTACGTGCAAACTGTCTGCCCACGATTTAGCCACATTAACCGGCTACTTTTGGGAGAAGAAATGTCCGCAGCACAATCAACATCATATGCAAGAGTACAAAGAGGTCAAACATCCAGGTTACTGTGATCGGGAAGATTTTGTACCACCAAAGTCGCCCGAAAGATTAAGCCCGAGTCGGCACCAGCATGGCCATGACTGGCATTTGAGGCTGGCATGAGAACTCGGGCCGAGCCTTTGTGACATCGGAAAACGAACGTTTGGGCTATAGATTAGATCAGTTAGATCAGTAGTCGAATTTGGAGCTGAATCTGGAATGTTAATCCTGAGGTTAAAGCTTTCATGAAGTGGCTCGACGGACTGAGAAAACAATATTGGGTGTTCGACTGAAAGCCCACAATCAAATGAATTTTTTTTCCAGACTTCTAAGAAATAGCCAACGTCATATGTGGTTACAAATTGTGACATGTTTCTCCTTGATTCAAGTTTCCAGGAACGGTAATATTGGGGGCCGAATGGATGTACCCCCTCGTTTACTGTGTCAGTCAGTCCTTCTCGAGATCATGCCACAACAATATTCTCTCACGCTGCACAACATTTCCGATCCGTCATATTATGCAGCTGTGATAGAAAACTCCTAATTCAAGACCCGGAAAAGATTCATCGTGATACCAATACCAATAAATATTCTCCTAGCGGCGTACCAACGAGACCAATCATTTCACATGATCATATTCGTCCCACGGTCCCACCTCAACGCATTTTCCCAAATCTATCTGTGACGTCGAATCTCCATCAATCTCACCTCTCCACATTTTCTCAACCTTTAGTGGTACAGGTACAGAGATTTCGATTGCCGATATCTCGCGTGTAACACTGCACTTGCGGCCCGCAGCCTTGACATCTCTTTTCAGATCCGATCAAATCCCCTCCACGATTCGAGCGTTCTTCTTCCAGAACAGTGCCGTGTAACGTAGGGAACATGCATACCAATTGACTAAAGCAATACGGATAATAGTTACGCAATGCAGGATCCGCAGATTTGGTCGAACGTCGTTGCACATTGCAAGGAGAGACAAAGTAGAGGGCCCGAGAAGTAGGCTCGGCCGTGTCTGGACGTCGTACTAGATCTGGAGAGTTGTATTGTTGGGGGCGGAATCGTGCGGGATGTTGCATATTTGGTTGGGGTCGGAGCCACATATGTCATATTGATGTGAAACTATAATTGCGTTGGGTGCCGCAAAACAATGTACTTGAGCTTTCTGATGGGTGGATGTCTTCTTTTAAGGAAGGCGCAGGAAAATCTCCGTTTGACGCATGCTGTGACCACGATGTGATATCTGGGAACGGAGATTTATCAGGTCTTGGGAATTAGGAGCTGATAAAAAAAGACTGAAATTGGATATCCCGCATAAACAAATGATTGATTCAAAGAATGATTAAAGACAGACCGGAGATATTCCCGTATCCGTCAACTCAACATTAGGCGAAGTTGTCCAACGATGATCAGTCTGGTCTCTCCAAGGGAGTTACATTTCAAGCCATGGGATTTGGTTGGTCCTCCTTGGAGGAAGTAATCGGCGTATAATATTCCATATAGTCCATCACTAAAGGAGCTTTCCTCAGCTGTTTGTCTCACCTTCCAATTTATCCATGTATAGTAATCAGGTATTCTCAGGAACAGGTAACAAGAATCATTCGTATGTATAATGTCTCGCAATTGAATAGCTGACTACAGAAAAAATGATAAAGTAGTCCCAACATTTTCCCACCGCTCTTAAGCCAGGCCTGAATTCTGTATTCCCTGTCGCGTCACAAACGCCACCATGTAATACACCCATGCCTGCATCGTGACAGCTATTACCCTTTGCACCACCTAGAACGCCAAGCAAAGATCACCGTTGAAAAATTTCAAGCCTTGAACGCGCCATGGAGATTTGCTGGCTTGAACGTCTGCCTGAAAATTTCGAGTTCGTGAGTGAAACAAGTTTTGCTACTTGAGCTTGATGACTTTGAACTTTTTGATGAAGAACTTGGACTGCTGGAGCTGGAGCCTCCGGGACCTTCACATGGCTCAAAGGCAAAGATGATGGCTGAAAACTGCTGATTGAACTCGTTGTCACGAACGAGAAGCTCACGCCAGATATTTGCAACTTCTTCTGGTGGATTCTTGAAACCTGGGCCAAGCCCATACGTTCCGATTACAATCTTATCATAACCGTAGAAAATTGCAATCCGCAAGGCGGTCTTAATGGAAGCTTTCATCAATTCCCGTTCCGTTTTAAAAGAGTACTTTTTGCCTGAGCTATCAAGCTTAGGACGCTTGACGGTAGGGACAGAAATTATGGGCAGTGCTGAGATATTTGTTAACAAGAAGTTCGTAGTTAATGCTTTGAAAACTCACATTTGTATTCTGACCACGGCTCATACTTTTCTGGTCCATTGCGGAAAACAACTTGGGCTTGTTAGGCAAAATATCACATTTGAGTCTAGTCAACTTACCAACGTTCTGAGAGATAATACCAGCTCGTTCGGGAATAGGGTAATTATTCGAGGTGATGTTGTCTGATGCTGGTGTCGTTAAGCAAGTATATAGAGTGCTTCGTCTGGCTAAGCATTCTTCCGGTTGCATAACACCTGAGGAAATGAGTTAGAGTGAGATAGGCACCCGATTAGAAAGAGCATACCAGCTTCCCAATCACCACCTGGTCGCCTTTCATGTGCCGGCATGATGACTGGAATGGGTCGATCATTCTCGCTGGCCGTCCATTCAAGAGCTAGATCCACGGGATCTCGTTCCATAAAAGCTTTGAAACGTTAGCCAATAAATCCAAATCTAAGATTTTCCCAAGGCCCTAGAATACCTACCAAATGTATACTGTCTTGATTCCCTAATTGGCTGATCTCGGAGAGAATCCGAATGGCATAAGTACGAAGTAGCTGGCCACTGCGGGCATGCACTGCGTATATAAGGGACGTAAGTTTTCTTCGCCTCAGCGGCGATCTCTGAAGGCTTTGGCTTTGAGGGGGGCATGTTGAGTTTGTAGGTGAAATAAAAAGATAAGGATCTAGACGGAATGAGAAATTGATGAATGCAAAGCGGCGGAATAAAAAAACGATGGGTATATATCGAAGCAAGGTCTTAAATTAAAAGCTATAGTAGATGCGATTCACCGCGATAATCGACAGCAAGACGAGGGGCATGGCTCAAGTATATATAAACGAAGGGATACAAGAGATGTGGTTCAAAAAAAAAGTAAATGCTGCGAGCGCGATCTAGTCCACATTCCTGATGCACGATCTCGATCACAGACCTGGAGCTGATAGATTCCCGGAACTTTTGTCAGTCAAGAAAAGGCATATTGATGATTGATTTTTTAGGTCCAGACTCTTTGAGTCAAGATCATTTCCACCGAGCTGAAGACATATCGACAGTGAATTGGAGGCGGATGATATGGGTTGCAGCTTCCGAGTCCTTGCTACCAAGTGACAAAAAGTATGCATGTTACCGGAGACCGACCCAGAGATCTTTTGATCAAATCCTGTAGGTTACATAAGATTCGCGAGAAATAGATCTGTCAACTATCGTCATTCTCCATTGAGACTAGGTCAGGGCAGATGAGAAACAAGATTAGTCCATGCATGTTCGAACTGGTTCAAAATGATAACGGGTATAGACAGTAATAATGGGATACCGGTACTGTACAACGTTATACAGATAGGGGTACATTCCAGAAATCGTTGTGTAAGGCAGGCTTTCGTCACTTAGTATACTGTGGCAGAGGAATCATTGATGTAGAAGCCTGTTTATACAATTCATTTGGGAGAAATTGAGGGATGATAAAAACGAATAAACAAGTGGTGTGAGAAAGCAATATGAAAAATTTGCTCCAATTTTGAATTGCTTTTGGCGACGCCCAGACTCGTAATCCTATGAACCCCTGACGAGGATTCGAAGGTTAAAGTTTCCAGATCTCGACATATAGATATACTTAGATCACGGCCCATAATCTGTCTAGTTAGAACTGACAATGTGGACATTTTTAACGATTTAGTTTGTTGATTGATCATGAATCAGATCTGATGGAAAGTTGGGAATGCTTAGCCAACGGCTCGGGTCGTTTCGGTTCGGCAATGCTTTATCTAATTCCTTGGAACCGCATTTAGCGCGCGTCTACGGCGACCCTCATTTACCACTATGTCTTCTAATATCAGATGCGATACTCGAAGAAAAGCATGAACATCAAAAAGAATGTATGATTGACACGACATCAAAGTCACCAAAGGCAACCACAATTACTCCGCTTGGAGAGTTTTAAGATTAATCTTGTCGATCTTGTCAAGTCGCCTGCTCCTCTGGAATATCGAATAAGAAACAATGGTACAACCCCGCTTTTTGTCAAAATCAAAATATGTCGCACGATCTTTTGTTCAATTAAGGAGCTTCAGTATTTCTTATCCTATTAGATCTTCCCAATTATCTGTTGCGAAATTACTTGGAACATCTCCCGAAAATGTAGATGAGGTTCAAGTCAATGTCAATGGCTTTATTCGTTCAATTAGGAACCAAAAAAAGATATCGTTTGCTTCAATTGGCGATGGCTCAAGTGTGCAACCGTTACAAGCTCTTCTTACTCCGCAACAAGCTGAAAGGTCTGATAACCATACAAACAAGTTCTCTTCCACTCCTAATCGTACGATAGACTTTCAACGGGTACAGCTGTACGCCTCACCGGATACTGGAAACCTTCCCCGAACCAGAAGGCACAAAGCAATGAATTACATGTGCTTGAAGTAGATGTTTTAGGTGCCGCGGATCCCGCCGTATGTAAGGCTTGGATGCAATACGTCGTTATTGATGATCACTACTGATTGGATTGGCAGACATTTCCGCTACAGAACAAATACCATACGCCTGAATACCTCCGCACCATTCCTCATTTGCGGACGCGGACGCCCTTCAATTCAGCATTACTTCGATTCCGATCGCAAAGTATAGCCTCTCTGACACAATTCTTTGCTGAACAGGATTACGTTCAAACACATCCTCCTATAATTACATCTTCGGATTGTGAAGGCGCGGGGGAAGTTTTTGAGGTCGGTAGCGCGCATAAAGGACCAGTCGGGAAAGGTGATGATGGAACATTCTTCAGATCGCCAAAATACTTGACTGTTTCGAGTCAACTACACTTGGAGGCTTTGGCCCAATCAGTAGGAAGAGTATGGACACTATCCCCTACATTTCGAGCCGAGAAAAGTGATACGCCACGACACTTGAGCGAGTTCTACATGTTGGAAGCAGAGTGCAGTTTCGTTGAAAAAATGGATGAAATTATGGATCTTGTGGAAAATATGCTCAGACATTTGACAACGAAACTATATTCTACTCAAGTCGGTAGAGAAATATTGGAATCGAAGCGAAGCGGAGATGAGGAGAAAGATACAATAAGCAGAAGACATGAATTGACTCGAAGATGGGAAGGTATGATGAAGGGGCCCTGGCCGCGGATCACTTATGCGCAAGCAATCGAAGAACTTGAAAATAGTGGCCAAACTTTTGAACATCCTCCTGCTTGGGGTTCAGGTCTTCAAGCTGAACACGAGCGATATATCGCCAATAAGGTCGGACTTGGATCGCCTGTTTTCGTAACAGACTATCCAAAAAGCATCAAACCGTTTTATATGCTATCTTCAGAAAATTTGCGTGCAGGAGGAACGCAGGAGACTGTCCAGTGCTTTGATCTTCTAGTTCCAGAAGCATGTGAAGTTGTAGGTGGATCTATGCGTGAGTATAGATTGCCAGAACTCATCTCTGCAATGCGAGCGAATGGTATGTTACGAGGTGATGCAGGGGAAGAAGAATTCGGTTCCTTGAAATGGTACGCAGAACTGAGGCGATGGGGAAGCGTACCTCATGGAGGGTTCGGCTTGGGATTCGATAGATTGCTAGGGTATCTTTCTGGTGTCCATAATATCAGAGAGATAGTCGCATTTCCAAGGTGGGTTGGGAGATGCGATTGCTGAAATGAATCAACATGGCGCAAAGTGGTTTCAAGGCGAGGATCAGCAACCTCGAGATAGCTTTGCCACGAGGCTTTCTTAGGGAAGCCCGATCGACACGATTATAGTGGGTATCATGGGAATAGAAAGATTCATGACATGAGATCACTAATTCATGCAGCGACAATCTCTTGACAACAGGAAAATGCCTCGCTGTAGGCGACCTGAGAGGCAAGAAGTATTACAATTCAGTGCATCTTTTCACTCTACGAATACACTCTAGTGATGATGTCATCTTCGGATGATGCTTGTCTACATCAACTTCAGCATAATCGCTACAAAGTCAGCTTCGCCTCCTTGCGAAATGTCATATGACGTTGTTTGCTCGCCGCCATCCTCTCCACTACTTAGCTTTCAACCAACTAATCAACAAACCCTCAACCGCTCTTTTCCCTTAAATGATACAAATTGAAAGCGCTTGACTAAGATGTCAAGTTAGAATCCTCCCCACATAACTGAAAACTTACCGCAAATCTTCACCGAAACCATAATTGCGAACGTGTGCCCCCAAACTACAACAGTGTATTTAACTCCAGGTGTTGCACATCCGAATCTTCAACAAGATTCATTCTGATTCCAGCCTCATTCGCATGTGCATGCCCCTGGCCCCCAGCTCGAGCTTTCGGCGGGCCACGGAAATGATGTATGATTATCTATTCACAGGTCATTTGAATTTGAATTTGACAAATCGATTGTAAAAGGTCGCGTTCTCATTTCAGAGGTACAGTAGATGCCCGCATAAAGTTTGCGGGCTATGTATAGAAGTTTGTGTCAAGTTAAAGTTCATACCTAGTTAACGGAACGAGTGGATCAATTTGGCCGGGTTCTCTATACCTGGTTGTTTACAGAGCCCAGAAGTAAAGATTCGTTTCAATACCTATCTGAGTTTCATTACTGAACTTTAGTGTCGCCGGTTTTTTTCTTTCTTTTTTTTTCGCATTAAATACTCTCCATTATTTTCATAACAACAATAGAAGCACTTAAATGGTTTGGAAATTGAAAAGGGCGTGAATATTCTGGTTGAAGTGTGTAGCACTGCATTCATATCAGTTGGTGATTGTGCACTGCAAGAGTAGCATCTAACATATCGTCACATCGAAGAAAAAGCCCTCACGCAAAGTCACCGATACCCCTCGAATTCAAGATATCGATTCACCAGATTCTGAATCCCCTTGCTTCAGTGACCAACGAATATCACGCCGGTGTATGAGATGAAGCCTACTTTCCAATGGTCAAGACTACCTAGGTCGATGTCGAAATAATGGAATTTCGGAAATCCAACCGAATGCCAACAACACAGGGAATAGGGTAACTTCCTATAGGCTGCCAAGATCTGAGATGTGAGAGGATCCATCGATAGATATATCAGATGTGATGGAGATACGGAAGAGCCAGGGAATTCACCCATTTTGGGTTGCTAGACTACCTATGTGATTAACAACTTCCGATACGTCGTTAAAGCATAGCCTCGATAGTTTTGAAAGTATAAAAATCGAAAGAGCATATTATTTTAATTTATCCGCCAGCCTTAGACAAGCGCCGAAGCGCAATCTGGAACATGAACTGACGATCCCGGATGGCTAGTTTGGGTAATTTCGACCGACACGCAACACGTTGTGTTTTGCAGTGCCTCTTGGGTAGCTATGTAACTCGGCGTGGGTTTAAGGTGGGCAGGCAGGCGCTGCGCTTTGTAGGCTGAGAATTAAGCGCCACGACCCCGCATGCACACGTTTGTCTCGACTTCAAGTCAAGTTTGACGTTGAAGGAAAGTTACATTTATTATATTCTTGTTTTACGCGAGCTTATTTTGATAAGAAATCCTCCTTTGTGTTTCTCCCAAAATCCGCAAATTGAGTGATAGTTTCGAAATAAAATTCCTATTCGTCACCTCGTCCAATGTTACTATCCATCCTTATTCCCTGCCTGCTCTTCCCAAAGAACTTCCCAATACTACCTCGAACTCTCCACCCACACCTTATGCACCACCCCCTGTCTTTACTCAGCACCCCAAAGTTGGGGTCTCAGTTTACCATATCATTACGCCTTTCTTACCTCGCTTCCGTGCTCGCATGCTCACATCTGCACAGTTGGCGTATGTTGCAGGCTTTGAAGCACACCCTCTTTCTTACCATTACAGCCACCATGCCACCACAGCCGTTGAAGAAGTTTAGCGTGTGGAAATTTTCACGGGGAATCTATCTTCAAATGGAAAAATAGAGAAAACCTTGTTTTCTCTCCTCACTATCTGAAATTGCGTATCCGGATGATGTTCCTAGGCTCAAATTTAAACGCGCCTCATTGTTGCATATCTGTACAACCGCCACCATCCATTCACTCCGCTTTTTCTTTATGAAAATCCTTTTCTCGCTTACTCACTTGACTGCTTGCTTCTTCTCGTCTGCATTTGCAGTACCTTGGCTTGTCTGCCCTTCTTTTTCGAGATGTAGCTCGGTTAGATTTGTCATTTTTGCCAATTGTTGGTCATGGTAAGATTTTTAGATGAGCCAGATATGTCACTCAAACATTCTGTATTCTAATCATTTCTTCTCCAACCTGAGAAATCAAATCGGTTCATGCCCCTGCCAAGTGCCAAGTTTACATACGGTGTGCATATACTGCATGCATACCACCCTCCCAAAATATATCCACGAGTAGGTTATTGTTAATTTCAATCTCATGGGACTGTTGGGGCGGAATAAAAAAAGCAGACTTAATCGGATATGCGTGCAGAATATCATGCGGATCGGATTCCTATCTATCCGTCCCTGACATCTAGGATCTGCAGACAAGAGATGGAGTGTGGCCTAGATTCATCTTTCTACGGAGTAGAGAGATGCAGGGTATGTGCTATGTCGAGAGTCTTAGAATGGAGCGAGATACCTCGTTTATGGAACATAAGTGTGTGTACGAGTATGCTTGTTTATGTTTGTGTTTACGTACATACGCACCCGGTTTTAGGCTCTTTAGATACCACGGATGCAAGTGACGCTCACCGAAGGGTGAGATTCGGTGACGAAATGCTGATTTGATTGATAGACCTTGGTAGGTACTCGGCCAGGACCAAGTAGCCGTCCGAAAATTTGGGGGGAGAATAGAGGAGGTCAGATGAGATGGAATGAGATGAGATGAGACAAGATCAGAATTGACTTAATTTCTTGAGGCTCTTGTCTCATCCCATCCCATTCCATCTCACGTTTCATTATGTTATATCTATATGTGCTATTCCTACAACTTGATGAATTATCAAACCATCTCATCTCATCTCATACACAATCGAATCGTTGATTACCAGAGTCTTGGGTAGAGAGGTAGAGTAATAGAATAATAATTAAAACACAAATTTAAAAATAACTCCTCTCCACTTTCTTTCGTCTTCTCCTCTTTTCAGTTCTCTTCCTATCTAGTACATTATGTAAGATACAATTCCACGTTACATACAAGTACCTACCTATACATACCCACCTACACCAGCAACCACGCCGCAAATCTCTGCATTACAATCCATATCCACACATTCGCTACCCTACCATTCCATCCATCCAAAACAGAAACCATCCATCTGCACATACCATTAGAGACCCCTCCCCCTCCCTCCATTATCCATCCTTCTTCTCTTCCCCTCTCATCCCCAAAGAAAAACATGCACACACAACCTTAAAATATCCAACCTACCAATATCCCCCTCCCCTCCCATCTCATCCCACCACACCTTCCTCTGCATCTGCATCTACATCTACACACACCACCAATCCACCAATCCATCATCCGCAATCATCCCCAGCTCATCCCCAAACTCCAGTTCACACCTTAGGTAACTCTCCTCATTCATCCCATCTCCCCAACCACACAACCACACACCCTCCAAACATCGCCAAGCAAGCAAGCAAGCAAGCAAACCCACAGTAGCACCATTATAAAATGTGCGTATACTATAATCATACATGACATGGTGTATACATGTACCTATATATATCTAGATGTCCACGGGTGTATGCAGAAGATATGGAATATGAGTGAACCACTGTGTCGGGACCGGATCAAATCAAATCAAATTACCCAGATACCTATCGTAGAATAAATTGTATCATCCCTTCCCATCCCATCCCTTCTCATTCTTTCGCATCTCGTCATATTACATTTTGTTACTTCGAGTATAATAATTTATTTATTTATTTATTCATTTGTTAATTTATTTTAATTCTTATATATATATATATATATATATACATTTCTACTTTATATTCATATTCATATTCATATTCATATTCATATTCATATTCATATTCATATTCATATTCATATTCAAATCTGCAGCACAGTATACATCCCACCCTACCCCTGCCCCCTCCCCTCCCCTCTCATTCTACAACCCCCACCACCCCCATCACCCCCAACCCAAGTACTAGGCTCCCTCCCTCTCTTCCCTCTTCCCCCACTCCATTCCGCACACTCAACTCACTCGAGTTCTAGTATCTTTTGCATGTCTACAAACGCACACACGTATGAATTTGGGGGTCCTCTTCTTTTGTTTCATCTCATCTCACTACATCTGCTCATCTCATCTCATCCCATCCCATCTCAATTAAGCTATCACAGACACAAGACCAAATTGTTCAAAATGGTTTCTTCTTTTCCCTCTGAATTTATGTGAATCTAGCTAAGTAATGTAATGTAATGTAAAGTAGAATGAGTCGATGATATCCCATCTAATCATCTCGTCTCATCTCCTTCCCTCTCCTCTTCAGAAACCACGGAAGAGAAGTAGCCAAAGTAAACTCCATAGCAATGCAATGTAATGGAACTTTAAACCATCCACAGACAAAATAACCACCGAGCCATACCCCTTTGCTTATTCCATCCATTATGAAGAAAGCCTGAATGTTCATCTAAATTTGTACAGAGAAGAAGAAATGTATGAAAACTATGTATGCTGCAATAAAACGAAACCAAAAAAAACGAAAGTATGGGATATCATTCCTGAAACGCAAAACTCCGCTCATCATACCTAACGCCATTATTGCCTGACCCTCCAAATCTCTCCTTTCCTATAATTTTGCACGCCAAATATTCATGCCCCTAATGCCATCCATACCCCTCTCCCTCTAGATCATAAATTTTCGATCCAAGACACTTATGGCTCTTCGATCTTCCCTTTCATTACATCCAAGTCCTGCGGCAGAAATTCCAGCGTTTAATTTTCCGATTTCTGATGCCCCACTCGCAACACCCGAAGCCTTCTTTTCCTCATCTATCTTTGATTCAACCTTTTCATTTTGCCTTGGACTAGTTGATCCGGGTCTGGAAGTATTGCCACTGTTCGATTTGTTATCCTCTAGGACACAAGCTGAATCGGTGTTATGAACAAGACTCGAGATAGATGGCTTTGTTTGAGCCTCTGATTTACTAATTCCATTTGGTGTTCCATTTGGAGAATTGGCTGATTGTTCATGGAGACTCTTTGGTGTGTGAGCCGGGGAAATTGTTGCCTGCCTTGGTGGAGTAGTTGTTCTTTGAACCCCGTTGGGTCCGATATTAACTGGGGGAAGTGGCGGCGCCTGGGCCAATCTTGGATCAATCATTCCACTTGTTTGTAACGCTCTTTGAGCCATCAGTGCATGCTGTTCAGCTTGTATTCTGGCATGTTCAGCTTGAGGACTGGGACGATAGGCTGGGCGATGTGGCTGAGGAGCACCGTTTTGATAGTTGTGTGGGGGAGGTGGTGGCAAAGAGGTGTTTGAGAGAGGTGGTGGAGGTCGATCATATACTGTTGGTTGTGGTGGACCATGCGCCATCATGCCAGGAGCGTGACTAGGATGGTGATGAGGACTATACTGGTGAGATTGGTAAGGAGATGTATGTGGAGGTCCCGGTGCCATGTGATAAGGGGAAGGATGCATCGACCCAGGTGGTGGCGGAGGAAGCTGTGATGAATACATCTGTTGAGGATGATATGGAGGAGTAGAAACCGGCGATGGTGGCCATGGACCATA